TTTAGATCTGAAATTGGATAAGGCAATTAGAAAGTTAAGTAAATGGAATGGAATATTTAAGGAACTAAACATCAACACATTTGTTCAAACTTACTTCTGGGACGACTAGTAGAGAGATACTTGCATAAAGAAGGTCAATTGATATCCCTTGAAATTTGAATTTCATAACAGGGACATGAGCATCAGGAACAGGTTGAAGTTCACTAACTTCTTCCATTTCAACTAAAATATCACGCAGAATAATGAAAAAATCTTCCTGCAGAGAGAACGGATACAGAAGTGAACTCTTTAAACAGCAGTAGATGTAGAACTAACAATAGTGAACTAAAGGTATTTTATCCACAACTTGATACTCACATCTCGATTAATATAAGATGGCCCAATGCACAATGTGTCAATGTCAGCTCCTGGCCCATGAACCTACAAGAAATATCACTTGTGGACACATTATGTGCTAAGGGAAAGCTTCAAGTTATTACCATAGGAACCAATTAAATTTGATAACTAGGAATAACTACAGTTTTATTTAACATAGACAGAAATTTTAGTACGTATAAGGTCTGGATTTTGTAACATTATATTCTTTCTACCATCTGAAGACACTTCTGGTTACCCCTTTCAGATAGGCAGTGTGTCGTATTTATAGTTTAAATGAATTAAAATCCAAGTAACAAATAAAATATATTAGTTACAGTTTTGATATGCAGACACCTCGTAATCATTCTTTCCCTGCCGTATTTTGCACTAAAAGTTTTTAGTTACCATATCAAGCACCTATAGCCTAACTGTCAAGTCATTTGACAGGCTGGTAATATTACATAGCATGGGTTGGAGTATCAAAAGCCACTATAGAAGGATTCACTATCTAAAATGCACTCACTTCACACATTTGCTTCAGAACAGAAGATTGGTCCAATACTGCTCATGATAAAAGCCAGAATTAATTAAATAATTCTTAGAAATCATGATATTACTAATGTATTTCCCACAGTAAACATCCAAATTCATGCCTAAACTACATTAATGTTACCTCTTATCCAACATCATAGCTACAAACAAAGATATTATTATCCAGATTCCCAACTAGGGGTGTAAACGAGCCGAGCCGAGCCCGAGCCTGGGTAGGCTCATGCTCGTGCTCGTTAATGATAGCACTGCTCGAGCTTGTTCGAGCTCGTGACTGATGTTCGAGCTCGAGCTCGAATTCGAGCCTGAACTCGAGCTCAAGTTCAGGCTCGAATTCGAGCTCGAGTTTAGGCTCGAATTTGAGCTCGAGTTTGATCTCAAATTTGACCTGTTTGATTTAAAATTTAAACTACTTTGTTTTATGACTTTTATCCCTACATAATTATTAAAGTATTTTAATTTCCCTCCCCCAATTATTATTTTTATATACTAAATACAATATAATTATATTATATATTATATAATATATTATAAGGCTCGTGAGCGGCTCGTCAAGCCGCGAGCCTACAATACCTAAGCTCGGCTCGTGCTCGTTTAATCCACGAGCTGCTCGAGCTCGAGCCGAGCTCGATTTTGACCGAGTTTGAGCCGAGCGTTGACCGAACCGCTCACGAGCGACTCGCGAGCGGCTCGGCTCATTTACACCCCTATTCCCAACAAAAAAGAACTTAATTGCAATGACCAAGCTAACTGTTCAAATTTTGTCAGAGACTAGCAAACCTAATGCTTTTTAACATCACAACAATCACCACTTCAAATCAGAATACTGTTGATGGCCACTATAAAATTCATAAAAAGCTCCACCCAGTCCTTATTCTCGTTAAATCATAAGGTTCATCCGTTCATTCCCAAAGGCCAAAACCCACTTCCCTCTAGTGTGAGAGGGACTACAAAAGAATTACCAAAAATATAATTCAGGGCATCTCTAACTAATTCAAATTTCAAAATAAGCAATGGCATCCACAGTAAGTGTGTCAATTACTTTTTTGTTTGTAGTCTTTTTTATTTCCATTGCCTCATCCAGAATAGTGCATTATTAACAGGATCTCCTTTCTATTCCTGATGTCAAATTGTGCTTAATAAATTAGCTTTACAGTAGATGCTGCTTGAATATAGCTAAATGTTTTATGTATAGAGAACTCCACTTTAACTTCTGGTTCATTCAGTCTGCTACACTAATTACACAAAACTTGTTAACTCAAGAGGACATATGGTTCATGGTTACCTCACTCTAAACAATTTTCTTATTTCAGAAAGGTTTTATTTAAGCCTGCACCTTCAGTAAGGTTTTTTATTGCTACCCTCTATTTAGCTAGCTGTAGTTGATTTACACCTGCATCTACAGTTAGGTTTATTCAGCTTCCCTCTACTAACTGCACAAAACTTACGAACATAGAACATTGTGGTTCATCCGTTCATGTTTGCCTTAACATTTTCCTTTTTAGCTATTTTATCATCATTGCCAAGCATTCATAAGATAAGGAAGAAAATTTTCAGCAAGGATCGTATGCTATTAAGAAATTTATGTAAATGTTACTGATTAAAGAATATTATTGAGTAACATGCAAAACAATTTTTCAAGCCATCACAAGACTAAAATCAGCAAGCTATTAATATAGTCTTTTTGCAGTTATTATCCTCCTTCAGTTTATGATTTTACAACATGCTGCTTTGCACTATCATAGGGAATTTTTTGGTCTAGAGGTACGTGATTTTTCTTAAGTATCTAAAAATCAGTGCAATGAAAAACCTATGAATTAAATAAAAAAGAGATAGATAACTTTCAAATGTTTAATAAGAAGCAAATATGTAGAACCTTGAGATATTACATCTGATGTCCTCCTAAATTCTAATGTACATAAAATAACTGAAAATTTTACTTACCCCTAACTGGTAGGAGCCAAAAGTCAATATAACAGCATTTGCATCTTCCACCATTTGATCTGAGTAACCTCTCTGACGGGTCAATTTCTTCACCCAGAGCTTCACAATCTAAACCACAATTGACAGTATTAATGCCAATCACATATTCAAAGCAAGCAAAAGAACATCAGACTGGGAATAAATAGGATTGTTGTATTGCCTAAAAATCATATTAAAATTAAGAATAGGCCAGAAGTGATGAGAAAACATGCAGGAGTCATGTCTATGAACAAATTGGGTTGTAATGCATTTGAGTCAAACCAAGACTAAAAAAGTTGAATACAACTGATTAGCTAGTTGAACCTATATAGTATTATAAAGTATAAACCCATCTCTTTCTCTCTAACTTTTAATGTGGGCCACACTTCAACGCTCTCCCTTAAGTGGACAACTAGACCATCTTGAATCTAAACACCACTTGGAATCGGAACTCCTCCCCTTGAAGCTTGAAAGCATGTAGGGGCTAGGTATATGGATGGACAATCAAGAATAAAGCCACATGCAGTTGGGGCTAGACATCCAGACAACAAATGAAAATGGGTTGAACTTGCTTTGGTACCACGTTAGGATTATGAATAGACCACAAGTGATGAGAAAACAAGCAAAAGTTGTGTTCACGAACAAATTAGACCCTAATCATTTGGATTTTAAAAAAAAAAAAGTTACAGGCCTTGTTTGGCAATTAGAGGTTAACGGATTGGTTAGCTGATAGCGGTTAGCGGATGGGTTAGCTGTTTTGACCAACGAATTGTACTAGCGGTTCGTAGCACGGTATTAGCAATTTACATGTAAAAAGACATATATGATTAGATAGTTAAACTCATAGCACGGTAAACCTAATTCGTTATGTCTAATTTTTCAATTGTGGGACACACTTCAACAAAAAATGTTTCCAAAGTAATGAACTAATATTTTCAACAACAACAAAAGACAAACACAAGGGAAAGATTCACCTTTTGCCCTTTTGGTCTCAATTCAATACAAGTGAGAGTCCACAACTATATGTTGAAAGCTAGATTCAAGCCTGCATGAATAGTCTCATAAGCTGATCTCAATGACCTCCTATTTCCTTGACTCAAAACAACAAGTTTGTCAGTGCATCATGTCTACCTTAGTCTCATCTAGGAACCCAAGCAGCTCCTCTATTTCCCTTACTACTCCACGTTACTTTTGCATATAGCATGAGAGTCAACTCTTATACATATATACTACAAATATGTGTGTGTGTGTGTGTGTACACACACACACACACACAAATGGAGTACGTGGGAAGTCCAAGAATCCTCCGACTTTGGCAGCTAGAGCTTTAAATATTCTCAATATCTACATTTCCTTTAAATCTTATTTTCTTTACCACTATGATGCATTTAATGTTTCAAGCACTTCTTCCCTTATAGTTCTATTTAAACTAGAGTTCTATTGGAAGAGGTTATGCAAGCATGATGCTGATGCTACACACCACCGAAGACGGAGTAATTCTTTTATTTGGCATAAAAAGAATGTGATTCCCTTATCCTCTTAGGGTAACCCAATGAAGCAAAAGACTATCACCATCATACTTTTAGATAAGTGGAAGGAACTCAAGAACTCATCGATGAAGCTAGCAAGCTAAGAGTCGTTAACTTACTGTTGAAACCCTAGGCCCGTTACAGTGGGCCCATTAGGTTATAGCTAGTTTTCAGTATAAATTATTGTAATCTGTACAGTTCTATGTTGAGAAATAGATGAAACCCTTCACACTTTCACATGGTATCAGAGCCTAAACCCTAGATAGTTTTTCCCCTCTCTTCCCCGCTGCCGCGCCGCCGCCGCCGCCACCGGAGTTTCACTGCCGCCGCGACTGGTCTTCTCTCTCCGACCTCTGCCTGGTGGTTCTTCTCCCAAACCGAGACCACAGGCCTCACCGGAGCTCCGTCGCGAGTCTGTGCCCAGAGTCCGGTCGCCATCCGCCGCCGCACGCGCCGCCACGCGCCGTCGCCGGGAACCGCCGCTGTTTTCCGGCCATAACTCTCTCCTCCGATCTCCGATCGAGACGTCGTCACCACCATTGGACTCGTCTCGACGAGACGCTTCCGGGAGTGTTGACCGTTTTCCTCGCCACCGCCGGCCACCGCCGCCGCCGCCGCAGGTCACCGCCGGTCAGAGAGAAACAGACAGTGTGTTTTTTCTTTTTGGGTAATCTCTATGGCTTCCTTTACCTCTTATCCCACCATTACTATGGACAAATTGGTTGGGAGTGAAAACTACACTTCGTGAGCCGCTTCTGTGACACTCTGGTTCAAAGGCCAGGGGATGTCTGATCATCTAACCAAAAAGGTTGGGGAAATTGAAGAGTCGAAGAAATCAGATTGGGAGAAGTCAGATGCGTTATTGTGCAATATGTTGTGGCAATCCATTGACCCTAAATTATATCTTATTTACAAGTCTTATGACACTTGTTATGATGTGTGGAATAAAGCTAAGTCATTGTATACTAATGATATCCAAAGGCTATATTCCCTTGTATCTAATATGCTTAATTTCCGTTCCACTGCTGATATGAGTACACAGGATTTCTTGGGTCGGATGGAAGCTTTACAGCAGGAGTATCATAATTTACTTCCATATCAGGAGACGTCAGAAAGTCATATGAAGCAGTATGATAAGTTCTTTATGGTGATGACCTTGGCTACCCTTCGGCCTGACCAGGTTCACATTCGTGATCAGATTTTATCCAGTCCTAGTGTGCCTACCTACACTGACGCTGCTGCCAGACTGCTTCGTATTGCCTCAACTCCCTCAGTTGAACCTATTGGAGAGTCATCAGTTCTAGCTACTCGGGCTGTGGATAGAGGACCTTCTGGACCATCTAGTGGTGGTGGTGGTCGTCGTGGCAAACTTCCTCGGTGTGAATACTGCCACAAAGATGGTCATACCAAAGATCGTTGTTGGAAGTTACATGGTCGGCCTCCCCGTTCTGTTAATCTGGCCCAGGCTGCTGCATCCGAGAGTCAGACTTATGAGCCAACCTCTACCCCAGTTGAGATGACCTCTAGGGAATATGAAGAGTATCTCCAACTTAAAGCAGCATCCCGCCTTGAATCTTCCACACCTAATGCTGGTACTTCCTCTTTGGTTTGTCTTTCACACGCCAATACTCCAAACTCTTGGATATTGGACTCAGGTGCTTCAGATCATATTTCTGGTAACCTTTCTCTTTTGCATAATGTGTCTAAGTCTAAGACTTTACCCATGGTCACCTTAGCTAATGGTCATCAAACACCAGCAATTGGTGTTGGTCAGGCTTCCCCTATATCGTCTTTTTCCTTGGAGTCTGTTTTATATGTCCCTAACAGTCCCTTCAACCTTATCTCTGTGAGTAAAATTACCCGTACTCTCAATTGTTCCATAACCTTTTGTGCTGATTCGGTTGTTGTGCAGGATCGCAGTACGGGGAGGGTGATTGGCACCGGCAATGAGTCACAGAGCCTCTATTACATGCGGGGTGGTGATGTTGCTGCTTCTGCCTCTACAGAGTCTCCTTTACTTATTCATAGTCGTTTGGGTCATCCTAGTCTCTCTAAACTAAAACGGATGGTCCCAGGTCTGTCTGTTGAGTCTTTTGATTGTGAGTCGTGTCATCTTGGAAAGCAATCACGTCAGTCTTTTCCGAGAAGAGTCAATAATCGGGCTGCGTCCCTCTTTGATTTAGTTCATTCAGATATATGGGGTCCTTGTCGTGTCAACTCTATTTTGGGTTTTCGTTATTTCGTAACCTTTATTGATGATTATTCAAGGTGCACTTGGGTTTTCCTTATGAAAGATCGTTCTGAATTGTTTCAGATTTTTCAAACTTTTCGTGCTGAAATACAAACTCAATTTGGCAAACTCATTCGTGTTTTGCGTAGTGATAATGCTAAAGAATATCTCTCTCATCCTTTTCAGTCATATATGACATCTCGTGGTATATTGCATCAAAGGTCATGTGTTTACACACCTCAGCAGAATGGGGTGGCTGAGCGTAAGAATAGACATCTAGTAGAAATTGCCCGTACTATGTTGTTACACTCCCATGTTCATTCTCAATTCTGGGCTGATGCTATCCTTACTGCTTGTTACCTGATCAATCGCATGCCATCTTCTGCTCTTAACAATGACACCCCATATTCCATTGTGTGTCCTTCTGTTGATCCTTTCCCTATTCAACCTCGTGTTTTTGGGTGTGTTTGTTTTGTCCATGACATGACTCCAGGTCGATCCAAATTAGATCCTAAAGCAGCCAAGTGTGTCTTTTTGGGTTATTCCCGTGTCCAAAAGGGTTATAGGTGTTATTCTCCAGCACTAAAGCGTCACTTTGTATCCGCAGATGTCACCTTTATTGAGTCCACACCATTTTTCCAGTCCTCATCAGGAGACACAATCCCTGTCTCTGAGGTGCTCCCCATACCTTATCTTGGTCCACTTCCTCTTGTCCAGTCCACTGTTCCTCCAGCTCAACCGACTCCTCTTAACCCGCCCCTTCAGGTTTATCACCGGCGTCCTCGCCCTGCAGTTCCTAAGGTCCCTAGTGACTTGCCAGTATTGTCCGATCCTCCGGCTGCGGTTCCACCACTTCCACTGCAATCTGACACTGATCTCACTGAGGCACCTATTGCTGTTCGAAAAGGTACACGTTCTACTCGTAACCCCCATCCTATATATACCTTTCTGAGTTATCACCGTGTCTCGTCCCCTTACTTTGCATTTCTTTCTCACCTATCTTCTGTGTCTATACCCAAATCCACTCGTGAGGCTCTCTCGGATCCAGGTTGGCGTCAAGCCATGTTAACAGAAATGGAGGCCCTCCAGTCTAGTGGCACGTGGGAGTTGGTTCCTCTTCCTCCTGGTAAAACTGTGGTTGGTTGTAGATGGATTTATACGGTGAAAGTGGGCCTTGATGGCGCAATTGATCATCTTAAGGCTCGTCTGGTGGCAAAAGGCTATACTCAGATTTTTGGTTTGGATTATACTGATACTTTTTCCCCGGTTGCTAAAATTGCTTCAGTTCGTTTACTTTTGTCTTTGGCAGCCATTCATCATTGGGACTTACACCAGCTGGATATCAAGAATGCCTTTCTTCATGGTGATCTTCACGAGGAGGTTTATATGGAGCAACCACCTGGGTTTGTTGCTCAGGGGGAGTCTGGTATGGTATGTAAACTTCGCCGTTCTTTATATGGTTTAAAGCAATCTCCACGAGCTTGGTTTGGAAGGTTTAGTTCTGTGGTGTGTGAGTTTGGTATGACAAGAAGTGCAGTTGATCATTCTGTTTTCTATCGTCATTCTAATGAGAAATGCATATACCTTGTAGTATATGTGGATGACATTGTTATTACAGGGAGTGATCAAGAGGGCATATTTCAGTTGAAGGAGTATCTCTTTAGTCGGTTCCAGACTAAGGATTTGGGTAAGCTAAAATACTTTCTTGGAATTGAAGTGGCTCAATCTAGCAGTGGTGTTGTTATTTCTCAAAGGAAGTATGCCTTGGATATCTTAGAAGAAACTGGCATGCTGGACAGTAGACCGGTTGATAATCCAATGGATCCGAATGTTAAACTCCTACCAGGACAAGGGGAGCCATTGCCTGACCGAGAGCGATATAGGAGATTGATTGGAAAACTGAATTATCTCACGATCACACGACCGGATATCTCCTTCGCAGTTAGTGTGTTGAGTCAGTTTCTTGAGACACCTTGTGATTCTCATTGGGATGCTGCTGTTCGTGTTCTAAGGTATATCAAGAGAGCACCAGGACAAGGCTTAGTATACGAAGATAGAGGACATTCACAAGTTGTTGGGTATTGTGATGCAGATTGGGCTGGTTGCCCGTTTGACAGACGCTCTACTTCAGGTTATTGTATTCTCATTGGAGGTAATCTCATATCTTGGAAAAGTAAGAAACAGGATGTGGTTGCTAGGTCCAGTGCTGAAGCAGAATATCGAGCCATGGCGCTTGCCACATGTGAGCTTATGTGGCTTAAACACCTACTACAAGAACTGCAATGTGGCAATGTTGCCCAAATGACGTTGATATGTGACAATCAAGCAGCTCTACACATCGCGTCAAATCCTGTTTATCATGAGAGGACTAAACACATTGAGGTTGACTGTCACTTCATTAGAGAGAAGATTGTGTCAGGGTGTATTAAAACTAGCTTTGTTAATTCTGCAAATCAGTTAGCTGATATCTTGACGAAATCCCTTAGAGCTCCTAGAGTTGAATATATTTGTAACAAGCTGGGAGCTTATGATCTATACTCTCCAGCTTGAGGGGGAGTGTTGAAACCCTAGGCCCGTTACAGTGGGCCCATTAGGTTATAGCTAGTTTTCAGTATAAATTATTGTAATCTGTACAGTTCTATGTTGAGAAATAGATGAAACCCTTCACACTTTCACACTTACTAGTAGCTAGAGAACAGACTGTGGTGCCTAAACATGTACCCCATGAGTTTCAAGTTCTGTTGAAAAAATTTTGGAATGTACCACCTGACAATTTTCCAGATGGTTTATTGCCCTTACGGATTCAACATATAGTAGATTTTATCCCAAGGTCTAGTCTACCAAATTGTTCATATTACCACACAAGTCCGCCAAAAAATAAAGCTCTAAAAGAAAAAATAGTGCTACCGCAGAAGGGGTTCATTCACTGCAAGGAAACCATTTTCTCTGCCTTAACTAAAGGGGCTGATTTTTCTTGGTTTTGTCATGAGTAGTGAGGTGTGCAGGTTGGTGAGAGTGTGAGACTAAGTGGAGTAAACAAGACAAAGCTAGCTTCAACATACTCAAGGTGTTGTGTTTTTTCATTGAATGCAATGCTACTGGAATGGGCATTGGCGCTATATTTTCTCATGAACATCTTACTGCTTTCTATAAGGAAAAATTGAGTCCTCTTTCTTCTCCCACAACTCTCTCTCCCCCAAAGAGCTAAAAGCCCTTTGTTTCTCCCTCTTACATCACTTCTATTTTCATCATCCTCTAAGCAAGACCATCAAAGCGAGTGAAACAATTTTTCATTTCAGATCCAATGGTGTATTTTTTTATTCAATGTCAATGGCATTGTATCACATGAGATTATTCCAAAACTGTATACATATTCTATTTTCCATATAAAAATTGCATGTCCAACATAGTTTAAGAAAAAAGGGTTCCACACAGATCTACATGTGAGAAGATTTGAATTTGATGTTTTATAGTCATATAAGTCATATACTGATATACTGTCTTGCAATAGCTGTTTTTGTTGACTCAATTGAAAGGGTGATAGTTTTTTTCCCATACTGTCAAGCCAAATAGGACTAAGCTCAAGCATCTCATTTATCACACTTGTTTGTTGTTGATTTTTGTCTAGACAGCTCATATAAAACCTAACAAAACATATTCTATCCTCATAGCCGACTAAACCTGCGCTTCGCACAAAACTTTCACAGTAACAAATTAAGATGAAAAGCCTTCCACCTTGTTTTAGTACTACCATCTTAAGACTCACTGCATTTCGAGACATATAGGGCAGGCATTCATACAACACAAACTAACTGGAAAGCCAAATGTTTAACAAAATTACACTCCTCTTCATAAAGTTTTGTAGAAATGTGCACAGATATACTGCAATGAGAACAATGAAGGAGATAAAAATATAATTACTCCCACTAACCATTGAACCTAAACACATTACCTGATCAAGCTGGCGCAGCACCTGCTCTCTCTTAGCAGTTTCTTCATCACTCTCGTACAACCCTGAATCCCTCAAGAACTTCAAATCAAAATTCAACACAAAATTAATTCCAATTCAAGCCCCAACTAGATAGTGAAAACAAATGTCATCTAATTTAATTTTCTTCATTTTATTTAAATATAAAAAAAAATAAAAAAAAAAAAACTTTGTTAAATTTCGTTAAGCCAGTCAACAAAAAATTAAGTTGATAAACGAAAAAATACCACCTTTTCGAGTGCTGCGCTTCTCTGAAGATCTGCCTCGGATGGCCCAGCCAGAGACAAAGGCTTTGTAACTCCGTATTTCTTCGGCGGCGGCGCCTCCATTGACGTCGGTGAAGTCTCAGCTGCGCTCTCAGAGCCCACCGTCATTGCAATTTGTACTCTTTTTTGAGAACAAAGAAAGGAAAAGTTCACAAACTGCTAACAAATCAGGAAATCTGAAGCAACCCAGAAGTTAAATTTCGGAGATCTTGACCCCCATTAATTGCCGAACCAGAAGAAGAATGAAGAAGAGACTTTTTTTGGGGGTTTTATTTTTCTCGAGTATATTAATCAAACGAAACCCTAATCTACATGTATGTACATACAAAGGAAGAAAGATTCTTGTATGTAGATATAGAAAGAGGAAGAGAGATAGAAAGAGAGAGAGATCTGAGATGATGAAGAAAGCGGGGTCAATGAGAACCGGTTTGGGGTTTTTCCATAGTGGGTAATTGGGTTTGGGTTTTTCCAAAAGGTCAATTTATTTAAGTATTAATTATTACAGAAATGCATTTATTATTTGATTTTTTCCATTTCAATCCTCCACTATCCACACCTTTTTGCATCCAGCTGTTTCTTGTATTAAATAAAATAGATTTTTGTTTTTTTTTTTGGAATATAAAATATATTTTTGTTAAATACAGTATAGTGTGTTATGTGTAGATCATTTTTTAGATTGACGTTACATTTGTTTCTAAATAAAAATGTCAGACGTTTTTTTTGGATCTAACATGTCTAATTCACAATACTCACACTTCAATTTTTATTTTTTACTTTGAGTTGATGTTGCTTTTTTATTAATTTAACAAAAAATATTTCATCTGTCACATTTTATCTATCTTACTTATTATTCATTGGTCAAATCAATTCTTTCTTCTTAATTTATTTTCTTTATTATTTTTTACTAATTTTTAAATTTAATTTTTGTATTTAATAATATGTTTAGTGTACTTTCTAATATATAAATTTTGTATACTAATACTAAATTTAATATTATGAAAAAATTAAATTGAAAATAACTTCAGTCAAATCTCGTTAACCGAACCAGACACATAAATGTTGGGTAAAAGGTGGAAAATCCCAAAATAATAATAATCCTACGGAAAGATTAATATTATATGATTATTATATGGGAAAAAAAAAAAAAACTGGGAAGGAAAAGGTTGAGTGTTTGGGTATAGGTTTAGCACGAGTTCGAACACAAAGTTCTTTTCCTTAAAACCTTATTTGCTACCTCCCACAAGTGCTAGGAGCGTTGTGGCCTAGGTTTCCCAGGATAAAACGTGCTTCGATTCTTTGTTTAAGCACCTAAACAAAGAACCCAGCAAACAAAGCAAAGCAGTGAACACTAGTTGGTAAAGAAGAGAGTAGAAGCAGAGCTTTGAGAAGCTGAAAGCTACTGGAATTTCTTTCGATTTTTTGTACTGTATAAAAAGCTACTGCTCTACCTCTCTTTAATTGGTATTAAACCAATTGTATAACACCTGACCTTAAAACAGTATTAATTCCATAACAGACCTCTCTTGCTCCTCTCGTGCTAGCACGAGAGTAAGTGCTCTCGGTTCGGTTGCGGGCGAAGTTTGGCATAACTTATGGACGTGCCGGCGCACGCGAGCTCGGGCTTAAATCAAGCCTTATCGATCTCCTCTAGTTGAATTTTGATTTGCACCCCCCCCCCCCCCCCCACGCGCGAGAGCATCTATGCTATACAATTCTACAAGCTTCAAAAGAGCTCATGTATATAAGGGGGGCAAATCTTGTTTCCAAACCAATGTGGGACAAAGTCCTCTATTTTCCTTCATTTCCCAACTCAAATGGGTCTACTTTGAGAATCAATATCTCATTCACCCATTATCTGTTTTGAGCGTACAATATATCAATCTCTTCGTCTTACTACGAAGAATCCGAATCCACTTTGACCCGACCCAAATCGGAAGTGGACCCCACTGATAATTGTACCACAAAATAGCCACTTAATATGCCATTTTATGCCATTTTAAGCTAATTTTTCCAACAATCCCCACATGAATGAAAATTGATTTTCGGGGTAGTTTTAAAATCGGAAACAACTGTGTTCAACGGTCGATCCCTGCATAGGATAGGTAGGGTCACACCCTTTGAACCTTCCCTCATGAAGATACATTTAGTCTACTGACTGTACGGTAGAACGCGATGTCTTTGAACCGACTGCCGTTTGTGTAGACGATGACATATCTCACACAGGAACCTCCCAACCATGCTTTGTTCTCATGATTGTGCCCATTTTGGTCGTGGGTCACCATTCCTGGTTCTGTAAGAGTTTGTGAAGAATTGTGCCCGTCAATTCTCCTTTGAAGCGACCCTCACTTCTCTCTCACATAGGTGATTCTTTCCCGAGTATCCCGCATACTCACATATGTCAACCGACATTCGAATCACTAAAGCATTTATCATGCTAACCTTGTGCGGGAGCCACTGTTTCTAACGAGGAGTGGTAGGGAATCCGAGACCCCCACAGTGACACGCTCCGTTCCATAATTTAGTTGTCCCATTGAACCTAGGTGCCAGCTAGGTTGGGTGTCCACTATAGAACTTTATACCAAGGGCTTTAGACCTATTCCTCGTCTCAACTTCTCCACAGCTACTCTACATAACCCTTTGGTTAGCGGATCCGCTATATTGTCTATTGACTTTACGTAGTCAATCGAGACAACACCAGTTGTAAGAAGTTGTCTAATGGTATTATGTCTATGACGCACATGTCTAGACTTACCATTATACATATGATTCTGTACTCGTCCAATTGCAGCTTGACTATCGCAGTGCACACACATTGGAGGTACAGGTCTTTCCCAATTAGGAATATCCTCTAAAAATGGCGTAGCCATTCAACCTCTTCACAACATTTGTCCAAGGCTATCAGCTCAGATTCCATCGTGGATCTAGCTATCACGGTTTGTTTAGAGGATTTCCATGCAACGGCTGCACCGGCTAGTGTAAACACGTAGCCACTCGTGGACTTAGAGTCCTTAATATCAGATATCCAGCTAGCGTCGCTATACCCTTCAAGTACAGCAGGATATCTCCCATAGTGCAGTCCAAGGTCTCGAGTATACCTTAAGTATCTCAGAACCTTCACTATTGCCGTCCAGTGCATGGCACCGGGGTTACTCGTATATCTACTGAGTTTACTAACCGCAAAGGCAATATCTGGCCTAGTACAGCTCATTAGATACACCAAACTACCAATAACCCGAGCATATTCTACTTGAGAGATACACTCCTCGTGGTTCTTGGTTAGATGAACGCTTCGATCTAATGGCGTACTAGTCCCTTGATGATTATCCTTGTTAAATTTTTCAAGGATTTTATCGATATAATGTGATTGGCTCAACACAAGGCCATCAGGTCTTCTAATGATTCTAATCCCGAGGATTAAATCAGCTAAACCCATATCCTTCATGTCAAATCTCGCATTTAACATGTTTTTGGTAGACTTGATCATTCGATCGTTACTACCAACGATGAACATGTCATCTACGTATAAACAAAGAATGACATAACCATCTATCATTTCTTTAACGTAGACACATTTGTCACTTTCGTTTATTTTAAATCCATTAGTCAACATCGCATGGTCAAACTTCTCGTGCCATTGCTTAGGCGCTTGTTTTAAACCATATAGCGATTTAACCAACTTACACACTTTCCTTTCTTGGCCCGGAACCACGAACTCTTCGGGTTGTTCCATATAGATTTCCTCATCTAGTTCGCCATTTAGGAAAGCGGTTTTAACGTCCATTTGATGAACTTCCAAATTTCGCAGCGCGGCTATAGCAAGTATCATTCTAATGGAGTTTATTCTCGTCACGGGAGAATACGTGTCGAAGTAATCAAGGCCCTCGCGTTGCCTGTAACCCTTGATTACAAGCCTAGCCTTATACTTCTCGATGGAACCATCGGGTTTCATCTTCCTTTTAAAGACCCACTTGGATCCTAAGGGTTTACTACCTGGAGGAAGATCAACAAGTTCCCAAGTGTGATTCTGTAAAATAGAATCCACTTCACTTTTAATAGCCTCTTTCTACATTGGTCCTTCTGTAGAAGTCACGGCTTCTCCGTACGTTCGAGGCTCATTTTCTATCAAACAAGATAGAAAATCGGGTTCATTTTCTAATAAACAAGTTAGAGTACTCGAATCGTACTCCAACAAGTAAGTTAGAAAATCAGGACCAAATGATTTTCCAACTCTCGTCCGCTTACTGCGTCTCGGCTCGAGCTCGGGTTCTCTCTCAGATTCCCCCCTATCATTATCCATAGCTTCGTCAAACGTTCGTTTTGACGAACTCGGTCCCTCGTTGGACCTACAAGGAAATACATTTTCAAAGAAAGATGCATTCCTTGATTCTATTATCGTGTTCTCGTGTACGTCCGGATTATGGGACTCGTGTACTAAGAACCGATAAGCACTACTATTATGTGCATAGCCAATAAAGATACAGTCCACCGTCTTAGGACCTATCTTTACTTTCTTAGGTGTTGGCACCAAAACTTTGGCAAGACACCCCCACACTTTCAGGTACTGGTAGGAAGGTTTCTTACCGTTCCACAGCTCATAAGGAGTCTTATCAAGCTTCTTGTGGGGTACCTTATTTAAAAGGTAATTACTTGTCAAAATAGCCTCTCCCCACGCGTCTTGAGGTAGGCCCGAACTTATAAGCATCGCATTCATCATATCTTTCAATGTACGATTCTTTCGTTCGGCAACACCGTTCGATTGAGGTGAGTAAGGTGCAGTACGCTCGTGTATTATACCTACACTCGCACAGAAGTCACCAATAGGTGTTTCCTACTCACCACCTCGATCGCTTCTAACTTTCTTAATTTTACAATTAAGTTGGTTTTCAACTTCATTCTTATAAAGAATGAATTTTTCCAAGGCTTCGTCTTTGCTTTTCAGCAAATACACATAGCAATAACGTGTGCTATCGTCGATAAACATGATAAAATATTTATTACCACCTCTCATTTGTATCGATCTAAAATCGCACAAATCACTATGGATTAATTCTAGTGGTTCAGTTTCCCTTTCAACCGATTTTAAAGGTACTTTCGTTAATTTTGCCTCAACACAAATTTCACATTTGTTATTTGTGTTAATTTGAAAATTGGGAATATGGTCCATGTTAATTAATCTACGTATAGAATTATAATTAACGTGACCTAGTCTACCATGCCACAAATTGGAAGACTCAAGCAAGTCAACGGAATTAAATTTGCTCTTATTCATGATAATAGGCATTACATTGAGCTTAAAAAGCCCATCAGTTACATAACCTTTACCTACAAACATTCCTAACTTAGACAAAACAACCTTGTCTGACTCGAACACTATGTGAAAGCCATGCTTGTTCAACAGTGAGCCAGACACCAGATTCTTCCCCAGCTCTGGAACATACAGCACGTTGTTCAACGTCAGTTCCTTCCC